AAGAGCGTCAAGTAGGCATTGATGCAATTGATGTTTGTGGTCCTCCCTTCCTACCCCCCCCAGGCAAATCACTGCAAAATCAAAGTGTTTATTTGGAAAGTTTAAAAAAAAAAAAAAAAAGTAGTAGTATATTATTCTTTATATAAGAGGCAACACCCTCGCTTTATTAGAATTGCCCCAAACTTTGAGATCCTGTGAGTTCCCAGCTGCCCTTTTACAATTAGCAGAAAATATTGCTCAAAAGCACTCCACATTCCCTGCTCATTAGGAGAGAGCGCATTTTCATGTTCTTTAAACTCGACATGTTTTGCCTCAAGAGCGAATTCACAGCGTGAGAAGTACATTCAATCAACAATATGTTTACCCTGAGTTTCATTAGACAGGAACCATATGAAATATCCACGTACACCATGACACCGCTGGCACCCAACAGCGACCGAAATAACAGATGTCCCCTCTTCTTGATCCTTATGGGTCCCTTCCAACTCAGGATATTCTATGATTTTACAATCCTTCGCCCGTGGACATCCCCACAGCCCAGGAGGAAACTGCCTATCTGCTAAAAGTGGTATCTCTACAGGCTTTCCAGCCACCACATCAGCCTACCTAGTCAAGAAATAACGATGTAGCGCTGCCTGGCGTTTTAACTATTCTGTAAAATCTGTTTAACAGCCTCGAGGAAGTGATTGCTGGGGCCGGCGACAAGTGGAAGAGCATCCAGACCTTCTCCTAAGCCATCGTTCTCAGCAGGTCACCCAGCCCTCCTGCCCACAGATGGTGAAGAAGCTTGAGTTTGGGTGCGAGACTTCTAAAAAGGACAGCATCAGTTACATTAATTACGATTAATTTCTAAGATGTATTTCAAAACTGAACAGTCTTCCACTCCCATTCAGCTCAGAGTCTGTTATGAAGAAACTCACACAGTAAATCTGGAGTAAGACCATCCTCCCTCTCACTGCAGATGCTCCTCACCCCTTCAGATGACACGAACATTGCAAAACATAGCGACTACTGTGATACAACAGTTTCAAATTTTTCTTTCTGTATTTCCGAGAGAACTTTTTTCATGTCCCACGAAACTCAAGCCAAACAGCTGCTTCTGCAGAAAAGGAACGGTGATGTGAAGTCATTCCAGTATTTAACAAAACCCTCGATTTTCAGCTAAAGAGCTAAAGCTGGGAGAGAAATGCCTAAACACCCTGGACTGTTAAGCTATATACTGTTTTAATAAAGCCATCGGCAGGCTCTAATGCCCTATGCTCAAAGGGAGGACTGGATATCTGAGTGACATCCTTCAGAATGTATCTTGCTGAAATGAAAACTGGTAACGTTATCAGGAAGATTAGGTTAGATCTATCTACAAATCAAAGTTCATAAAATCTAAAGATATCTTCGTTGGGTGCATCCTTCAATATGAAGAAAGAAAAAAATCTTCAATTTTAAGACTTGTTTAACAAATCCCAGCACCTAGAAAGGCACAATTTCCCAGCAGAAAACTTGTTTTTCCTGAAAAACATTTACATATAAATAGACAAAATCGAGGTTTGGCACCCCTCAGAAAGGAAAGACGGTCTCCAGTACGCAAAGACCCTTTCCTGGACCCTTTTCATTTTTCACACCTTAATGGCACGTTAGAGTACGGCCGTATGAGCAGGAAGTGAGCTTGCAGCCTGGTTTTCTATTAACCTATTGATGAAATAATCCATTTTAATGTGTTAAGTGTCATGCCTTTTTCTTCTCTTTAAACAAATGGACTTTTTTTTGCGGTGATGCTGAGGTCCTGAGACATCCGAGTGTGTCCTTTAGCATCGATTAGGCTCCAGCTTGCTTCCCTGTGATGCTCTGCGGTCTTTGAGGATTCAATACCGTTATCAGCGGCAGGGTTTGGACACTGCCGAGCCCAGCCTCCACGGGGTGAACGACGTGAGTGAACACCAGGGCCCAGCTTAGCCATCCTGCCCTGCCCGTCTTCAGAATTACACACTGTATATGCATTTTTGCTACCTACCGACAAGGCCTGAATGGGCACTGGTGGTCATCAGTTGCTTGGTTTGTCTTTGACTTATATCCCAGGTCTAGGTCCGTCAGGTCTAGGTTCACTTGCTGGTTCAAATGTTAATTCAACAAAAGCTCTTGCTGCCAATGCTGGATATATATACACACACACATACTTAAACAAACCAACCACAACTAGTTTCCAATAAAAAGCTATGAAAAAATACTTACTTCATTATTTAAGAGCAAACAAAGCTCCCTAATTAGAAAGATCTTGAAGGTAGAGTATTTTCCAGAAGCCCGTTTTCTTCAAAAAAGCCACTAAGAAGTGTCTCTAGTTAGAGATACTAGAAGAAGCCTGACAAACACCTCTCTCAAACATCAACCATCTGGAATGACGTTAACTATTTCCCAGAAGACATCGGGTATTTAATTTAGCTTGTACCAAAATGGCAACCAGCACCCTGCCTAGTACGTTGTGCTACCACAATCTCAATGACTAATGTATTTTAATAACATTTCAAGAAAACCTTTTATTAACTCTAACACTTGCCCTGATCTCTGGCTTCGCTGCTGACAGAAAAACACCACCTCGCAGCAATGAAAGCAGTTCCTCCATCCCAAACAGCGTGTAGGCACGGAGGAGCAGCACAGTTTCTGTTCTTATCCAAGACCATTAACTCCAGAAATTTAGATTGCAGAAATTAAACTCCTGTCTTTGCTGGGCAGGTTAATTTGTGCATCCGAAAACAAGGATGGCCCAGCACAAGAAATCATTATCTGTCAGCCAATGGCACAGAGCTCGGCTTTTAACGACCCCACAAAAGAACACCGGGATTGTTGCAACCTTTGACTCGACGCATGCCATTGCCCAGCCGTTCCTCCCAGCAGTGACCATGAGAAGAAATCACAGAGCACCCAACTATGAAAGCTTTGACTCTCGGAGCCCGAGACGCTTTGTGTTTTTTAAGATAAAGGGTTAAAATGATTTCTTCATTTCTTGCAAGGAAGCTGCTTTGAATTGCGTCACCTATGATGGGATGCGTCACTCGCGTGGCACATACTTACTGGGGTGTCTTGTGCAGATGTACCAGTTAAGGACCTGGAAGCTACCAGATCGATTTGTAAGGAAGAAAGAATGATGCGCTTCTGTATAACAGAGCCAAGCATTACAACAGGCCATCTGTGTATATATATATTTTTTTAATAGCAGAAGCTACTCCTCGAGTAGGACAGAGGTCAAGAAATTGTTGAATCTAACAGAAAAATACTCAGCAGCTAGCTGAAAATTTCCATGGGCTGTACCAGAACCACACATCAGCGTCAGCCCTAGAAAGTCATACGCCGACCTGGGGAGTGAATTTTCCCCTCTCAGTAACGCAGAAATTGGAAAATCGTTCCCTTCTTCCACCAAAACATCACCTGCGGTGCCTGGCAATGCTGCTACGCCTTTGGAAACAAGGAATTCCCAGGTTTGCATATGCCTGACAAACAAGCAGTTGCTTGCTTGTTTAATCAAACTGCCCGGGTTGTTTGGGTTTTGCGGGGGTTTTTTGGTGGGTTTCTTGTTTTGTTTTGTTTCATTGTTTTTAATGTCATCCTAAATTTTGTCATAATTTTTACGGCAAATGAATGATGTGAGCAATTGCAACCTTTTGCTTGGTAAAACTCTGCGTTTCCTGCATTCAGGAGGGAGGACTGGATGAGCCCGTTCCCTTCCCCATCAAAGGGATTATCATGGGCATATAACCACAGCCTCTCCGGAAGCCATCCCGTTTCCCTCCTTCACTCCTCCCTACTCTCCTTATCCAAGACGCTCTTGTAACTTTTTTATTTTTTAATCCCAGTTTTGTGTTTCAGGGATATCTGAACTGTGGTAGCTCAGACTTTTAGAAAGCACCTTGCCACCTCTCCATCTAAACATTAAAAAAAAAAAAAAAAAGACAAAACACCTGCTATTGTTCATTCAGCCCTCATCTATGACCCCTTATAAGCAAAAAAAGATTTCCCAGGTGTTGTCCATGACCTGCATTTTGCCTCAACAATTCACAGGAGCCCTGGCCAGATGTCAGGACTTGAGCCTGGCCTTCCACAGACCCTGCACTGAATTAAGACCCAGGAGATGAAATATTCACTTGCTCGAGCCACTTAGAAAAGCGTCCTTTTGCATAACTTCTATCAGCAAACGCATTTCTGCGGTTGCGCGCTCCTTGCGTACAGCCGGGAAGCAGGCACAGCCCTGCAAAGCACCATGCCGCAACACGGACAGCCGCTCGGCGCTTCACGAGGGCTGACAAAATAGTGGCACTCTTTAGAAAATCAAACTATCGTACCAGCGATCTGTCGTTTCAGCGGAGGCTGTGCTACCCGTGGCGGCTGGCAAGTTTTCGGCAGTATTTTTTTGCGTGTAACTTTAGACTCTGCTGCACCTGCTAGTAGTGCAAAACAAACTCCCTGCCGCGGAAGGGTGCGGAGATGCACCCGCCTCGTGCGACACGGGCGCTAGACAACAGCCCGTGGAGAGGGTAATTTCTAAGACCTCTGGGCAAAAGTGAATAATTACTGCAGGCAAAGGAGTGCTGCAGCTCACCGAGCAATGTCCTGCGCACCTAGGTGCCTAAAAATTGCTAATGGTGCAGGCCTTCAGGAGTTGATTTGGTTCAATAAACTCATCTTTCCAGAAAATAGGCTTTGAGCTCTGCTAGCGTCAAGGTAAGCAAGGCTCTCACTCTTTTTGTTCCAAACAAACTCTTCCTGCTTGCTTATTTTTAAAATATATTACTCCCACCAATCTGTCCTTCTGCTTCACCAACCACAGGAGAACCATACGGCCTCTAGATCCGCATCTTGGACCTTCGAAGACCCATACAAATCTGGAAGGGTCCGAAGTGTTTATTACTGTGGTTCTCCTATGAAGAGCCTTAATAAACTGCTTAAATCAAACGGGACTTTGGACATTTGTGGTTTGACGAGAAGAAACGCTACAGACTGGCATTGAAAACGGAGGGGAAATCTGTGGCTGCAGAGCACGTAGAGCTTGGGAGTCGTGAAGGTCCTTGCCATGACTCCGTAGGCACTGCCTGCACTCACTGTGCTTGACCAGAAGCAATTCCATGCTGTTATTTCACTTTTCTAAGGTCCCTCTCTGCAATTTTTCAGTTTGTAACGCACACACTCTGAAGCGGAAGCTAAACAGGTCATTTAATGACTGTACGAGTCTTTGAACACCCAAACACCACTGAAAGAGAGCACTAAAAATGGAGTCCAAATAGGAGATACTTAAACCTAGTGGGAGATGATTACATGTTATGTCTCTGTCCATTACGGCAAGGCCCGATGAGAAAATGGTGGCCAGAGCTTGTCATTTCAGCTGAAGCTCTGGGAGGACATCCAGCTGTAGCTGGAGACACGGGCACGCCTCCGTTTGCTGATGCCTTCCAGTACGCCCTTTGTGAGCTTGACTACGCTCATTTAACATACGTGCTGTATGTAAAATATCCTCGCTTACATGTTTTAAGCGTGTACTTCTTAAAGTAAGAGTAGGTATGTTGGTATATGAAGAAGAAAACTAGGCTTGGGTACAGCCTTTTGTTAAGATGTGGAGTAACTGGGAATCAATCAAACCTAACGACTCCCAATTATCACCTATCTTTGTATTTGTTCAGGCAATAACTTTACATCTGTGACAAACCCCTTGCAGACAGAGTTTCTGCACTTGCTTTCTTTAATAGGGGTGCTAGTTATTCTGTGTTAATGAATCTACTTTTCCTGTCCAGTTTAGTTAGGTATCGCAGTAAATATGTTTACCACCGCTTCAATCCCATACCGTGATTTCTAAAAGCAGTAGATGCTTTTAGAAATACTTACCCATGTGTGTGTCTGAGGATGTATCTGCTCGATACCTATGAAGTTCTCTAAGGATGCTTAAAATACTACACTCACCAAAACACCAGATGAAGCTCCTCCAGCTTGCTCAGATTCCGTTCTTTATACACTTTGATAAGCAGAACTATGCTTTTACTCTTAGGAGAGTCTTAATATCTACACAGTCTCACCCCAAACATCCTCCTCCACTGCTGTACTGAGAAACCACAGGCGTGTTAATGTCACCTCTGGTCTCTGCGTGACAGAGTTCTTTGTTGATTAGATAAATAGTCCTCAGATAGCTGATTAAAAAATGATGTAGCCGTTAGGTTGTGTGTCCAAGCCTTGTCAGCCATGTTGGATGTTAAAGTGTGCATGAATTACATCCCTGGAGTGTGCTGAACAGTGCTGATTAAATGAGGCACGCCACAGCCCTCAGCATCAATTATCAGAAATAATAGGATCTTTTCACCTACGCTGGAGGAAGGGGGCTGGGGATGGAGTTGGCGTGCCACTCGTTTCGCAGAGCATCTCCTCGTCATCTGCACAAAATAAATAACACCGTCCATTCACCTAAGGACGTTTGTTTAGTTATTCTTATTGTGCAACAATTGAAGACCAAGAAAATATATGAGAAAAAACCTTCTCCTACAGTGTAGGCCGGGGAATGTTTTTCATGTAATAATTGTGCAAGATTTATCTAGAATAATAGGGGTATGTAAGAGCCAGATGAGAGGCGAACTTGAGCATCAGAGGGATATTTAAGGATAAACTCCGGGAGCATCTTGTTGCCGCCCCAGTGAGGAAAGGATTCTGCCCTTCAGCCCTCCTCCTGCCCTTCTTCACCTCACTCCGCATCACGCGTGGTTTCACCAGGGGCTGCAGAATGGCAGATTCGGGATTCGTCTTTCTTGCTGGTCAGCGGAACAGCCGTTTGCTCAACAAGACCAAGTGCTTTCCTAAGAGGCTTGAAATTATTTCATTAAGATGCAACCCAGGAGATTCTTACACCACGTAAACTTGTTTCTCTGACTGCAGAGGGGCTTGATACCGCCTGTTTTACACTACATGGGAGCAGCAATGACAAAAATTCCT